GTTGCTAAAGAGAACTTGTGTAAACTCAGAACACAGGCACAATTCTTGGCCTTTTCCCCCTATATTCCATCTTGTATTCCGATCACGCACCACTGCGACACCACTGCACCAATCCACTGCATTAATCTTGGCCTTAAACGGGCTGACTGGCAAAGCAAACTGTGTGTATATATCATCTTTCAAACTTAACAAGTTAAAGGGAGAGAGGGTGGTGGTAGGTGGGGAGGAGTGTGGGGGGCGGGGACCTGCATTCTGAATATAAAATATAGGAGCTGAGCTTAGTAAGGGAATTTGATTTTCCAGCAGTTCTTTCTTTATCTTCTTTTTTTTTTTTTTCCCCTTCTCCAGGTGAAACGTATTAAACTGCTGATTTTGCAAAAGACATGCTTTCTGTGCACCAGAGGGTAACCTGCCATTGCAGTCTGCACTGTGGAGAAAACAGTGCTATTAGCAGAAGACGTTTTATCTGCATTGAGAGAGTGGCTACAATTTAGAATTTGTTTTTACAGCTTAAAAGAATAAAGCATTTATAAGAACAGTTGTTCTTCTCTTCAGAATGCAATCATAACTTTAAACTGCAAAAGGAGTAAAGCCATTAAAGAAACACTTTCTTCTGTGTCAGAAGGTTAAGTGTGTAACAGCTTGCCATTGTTTTTTCATTTCTGGTCTGCTGGGTTATTTGATATGTAAGTTGTGGGTGTTTTTTTATACCTCCTTTCTATATTTTAAAATTAGAATTGCTTTGGGAAATGATCCAACTGCTTCCCATTTCAGAAAACCAGCTTTCATCAACTCACACTGACTAAATTAGATGGGTGAATTAGGGTTCCTTGCTTGTTGGTCTACCATTAATGCTCAGGGAGATGTGAAATGCTCTAGTTCAAACCAACTTTCTCATTCTTATGTTATTTAAATAGCATTCTCATTTCAGATAATCTGCACTGTTACAACGGATTGAAATATCATTACGATGGATGTTTCAAAACACTTTGATCTGCTCGGGTCTCTTCCAACCCTACTAACTATGAAACTTTCAAAAGCATGATGTAGCTCCTACCAGCACTGTGGTAGTTTAAAAACAACACTCAAAGGAGGAGTACACGAAAGAACAGATTTTTGTACCCAAGGAATTTCTGGATGCTCTCTGTACATCGACTGGCTCCGATTTAAGCAAAACTGTGGCTTAAGGGATATATTTAACTGCTTTTAGACAATGATCAAGTGTCCTTGGGTATGCAAGGAAAGATGGTGGTCAAATCATGGGATTAGGAACTCTGTTACATCAAAGTAGCTTTCACAGAGCTTTGTAGGACTGTAGCGAGGCCTCTGGCTCAGACATTGGCCTGACTCTCCATAAGTTATATGACATTGATAAATGTTTTTCAATTTCTGGCACATCAAGAGCTTCCAGAAGATGACCCTGAATAAGTGTTTCACCTATGTGAAATTCCCACGTCTTCCACTAACTACTCTTACGCATAGCACCTGAGATAAGGCAGTTCTCTTCACTTGAGGGATCCTTGTTCCCCATAGACATGCTTCTTGGTGCCACAAAGGGCCCGACACTGCTTCCTCTGATTCAAAAAGGGTTAAAAACGTTTTGAGGCAGAGCTTGTAAATAATGAAGGTATTAGACAGCAAGTCCATCTCTTAAATGCCTGTGCCATTTTTACATGAGAACATATAAGTTAATGGATCTTTCAGGCTACATGAAAACTCATACTAAATCTGATCTTTAATTCTCAGATCTCACAAAAGTTATGCATATGAGTCTCCCTTTGACTGTGGTGCAACCATTGAGGTTTGAAGGTAAGCACACACTTAGACTCTGCTGCAGCAGGGTCTAACACTATCTGTATGCATGACACACATGTGACACCTTCCACGAGCAAGCAGGTAAGTCACTTCTCAGGGACTGCCACACTTGTTTTTAGAGTCTAAAGAAACAGTTTAGGGATTATTTAAAAAACCACCAACACAGCCCCCTGCCTTAACTCTTCATTTAAAATACTCTCAAATCTGAAAAAGTTTTGTCTGGGTTAGTGTGACAATGCATACTTTTCAACCAATAGATGAAAGCTCAGAGCTTGCAATCGGCATAATTTAGCAATTGTTTTTGTGTAAGGTCTAGATTTTATCCTTTCATCTGGAAAGAAGTCACTTCCCTGGTGTGCGTGTATGTGTCGCTCATGCTCTGTCTCTTATTTTATATTCTCTCCTGTTATTGCCCAACTTGCTACTTGACATCCTTATGCTTGCTGGCACTTGCTAATCTGTGATTTGCATTGCTATATAATGCAATTCAAAGGAAGGCAGACTAGAAATTTACACCACAGACATCAATGATGATGCTATGTCAATTTACATCAGGGAAGGAAGTGGTCCCACATGAATCCCTGCAATTAATAATGTCATGCTTTGTGATCTGTTGTTTTCAGCTAAGCAAAAATGTAAGGACTGTAAAGTCGACTTAATTATGATATGCATATTAAAACACCAGCATAACAGTATTTACTATGCAAAATGTAGTCAATTTTCTGCTGAAGTAAACAATCATTTTAAAACCTATTTGAAGCAAAAAGTTTATTCTTGAATTAATGACTTGCAGTTCTTTCCTATTGCACCAGTGACATAAGAGACTTATGAAGAATTCTAGGGCCTGCTCCCATTCCCAAAGAAGCCAACTGGATTTGGGGCTGGGATTCTTTAGTACACAGCACTTTAAAAAGTAAAGCTCTTTTATAGTGCCTTTTTCACTGCTAGGCTTTTACACTGCTCATAAGTCACTTTCTGACAACACAAAGTAAAATGGACTTATTGCTAGGGAACCCTTACCTTTTACATGCAAGCTACAAAGGCACGTTGAGAAAAATGGGGTAGAGTGACAACAAATGAAGCAAATGCCGGCCTATTTTACAGACAAGCAGAAGTAGCGTCTGTATTCATTCATCCTATGGGTGTCATTCCTCCTCCTGGCAGTAGCCTGGCACAAGCCCTGAAAACAATCCGAGAGAGATGAATGGCCTTGGGTTGGCCTCTTGCACACAGATAAATTTTGCCCTCAGCATTGCTGCTACAATAGCAGAGCTCATGCTTCCAACTCTTATCAGGTAATCTGAAATGGGAAGGTTGCTTTGTTTTGGCATTCCTTGTGTGCTCTGCCATTGCCTTCACCATAACACCCTTGCCTCCAGCATTTGTTATAAGCATTGGGGTTTTAACAATGAGAAACTGTACTCATTACCAGGTATTTTGTGACCATTCTGTCTTGATGCTTGGATTCACCTGCTGAAAGCACTCCCAGTCTCCCTGAAACATCCACTGGTGGTTGCCTGTGTAGCAATTTGCTGTTTAATGGCACCATCCCAATGTTCCTTTCCTGCAAAGGATGGTTAATTAAAGTCTTGGATTCATGGTCTGTGAAGATAACTACCAGCTTTAGGCAGGATCTTTTCAATCAGTCTCTCCCCAGTTGGTAGCCTTTCCTCTTCAGTAATGAGGAAAGCTTTGTTGGAAGACTGCCTTGTATGCCTACTAGAGTTGGTTGAAACAATAACGTTGGGTTCGATTCCCTGAAGTGTTTTGCAGAGCTCCACAATTTTAGGAGAAGAGGAATATATAGGTATGGTGCCAAAGATGACTGTAAAACTTAGATCTCTCTCTTTGTTAGCTTATCAAAAAGAAGGCTGAGAAGTGATTTGATTTTTTTAAAGTGTGTGAGTATCTTCATAAAGGGAAAATGCCAGGTCCCACAGGGTTCTTTTATTTAGCAAAGAAAGGTATAACTAGAACCAATGGATTTGTCTGCCTTAGGCCTGTAGCGATATTAAAAAAAAAATCAGGCATCGATAACAGTGAATGTGATTAATCACTAGCGTAAGGTGCTAAAAGGAAGGGGTACATTTTCTGTCTCCTGGTATCTTCAAATCAAGCCTAGATGCCTCTTGAGAATTTTATTTTTCTCATAAAAAAAATTATGATTCGACCAAGCCTAAATGATGTGGCTTGAACTAGGGGGAAGATATGTGTTCCTTATCTTGACCTATACAGTGGAGAGATGGTTATTCGCTATGGGACACTGGAATGTGGGTCAGCATATCTTTCCAGGGCAGCAGCTAGCAGAGGAACTCCTTTCTGTAGCTGGCAAGCAACCTCCAAAGTTTTTTAATAAAAATTGGTCTTATGCTTTAGGCTATTTATTACTTCCTTCAGTTCTGATAGCACAGGGGAAGAATGGCATATTTACTGTATCAATACATGATACCAGCTCTTTGTTTAGAGAAATATTGTTTATCAGAGCAGTAGCTGACTGCACTAACTGGCAACTTTTCTCATTTATTTATGTGATAAATAGTAGCAGTCTTTCTGCAGTCAGCCAGATGCAGCTTTCTGTGCTGTTTTGTCCTTTGTACAGAATAATGAAATGTAATGTTTGGACCAGCTTTATGAATAGGGCATACCCAGCCATACAAGGCTAGTTTTCCAACCGCTGAAGAATGTTGTCTATTATGAGGTATGCGTCATTGTCTACGCGAACAACAAGGACTCCCAGACTTATCAAATGAAATATGTGATGCCCTTTCAACAGAGATTAAGCCAATGTTCAAAGAGTATTGGCATTTCTATGGGGAAGCATGACATACATTTTAAATACAAACATTTTCTTGTAGACAATTACCCCCCTTTATTATTTAATTACTGCTATTACTGTAGCACACGGATATAACACTGTCTATTCACAGAGTAAGAAACAATCTCTCCTCTCAGGAGGCCAGCCAAAGGAAAGGAAGGTTTAATTACCTCCTCATACCGATGTTGAATAGAGGCTGAGAGAGATTAAGTGTCTCACCCAAGGGCACACTGGGAGTCTGTAGCAGAACTGGGCACCAAGGATTCCTTGAGTCTTGCTTTGGTATCTTAATTGCAAGACTCCCTCTTGATTTATTGCTCACTAAATCTGGGGCTGATTCCCACTGCTGCATCTGCTCACTAAAATGCAACAACTCTGAGAGCTTTAGACAGGATCTGGTAAGGGGCCAGTTTAATTATTGGCACAAGTGGATACAGCCCCCTGGAAGCCAGTGGAGCTTCTGCCATGACCCCTCTGCAGTCAGGCTTGTGCTAGGAAAGCTGGTTTTGATTTGGGACTAGCAGCGAGGCCTCTAAAGGAGGGTGCCACCCAGAGTGGGCTGAGAGCTGTGTGCTGAAGTGTTTCTTCGGAGCTTTACCCTGTAACACGTAGAGGTGACTTTGAGTTGGGGGGTCAGCAGGTTGCAAGGCATCGCATTTTCTTTCCCACTGAGCTGCAAAAGACTTGTCAGCTGTTTAGCTCAGAGCACCAGGGTTAAGAAGAAACTGTTCAATAAGCAACTTTAAGAAGCCCACAAAAATGATGACTACTGAATCTCTGAGATGAGGCTGTGACCGCAAGCTGAATTTCGCTCCAAAAGTTTGGAGCTCCTTTGGGCTCTGACCCCTTCATTCAGGAATAGGTCAGCCATTAGCTTGGCTGAACTTGACCATTCTCTTTCATGTGAACTCTGGAGTTGTAGCTAATGCACTAGAATTAGAGAGCTGAGTTCAGTTCCCAGCTCTGCCACAGTCTCTTGTGTAACCTCTGGTAAAGCACTTAGGGCACTTTGTCTCCACTGCAACAATTAGCTTAAGTTAGTGCACTCAAGTTATTCCTCCTAAGCCAGCTTGTGTGGGTGACACACGGGTAGGGAGTGCTCAAACTAGACCACGATTACATTAGCACAATGATTGCATTAGGAGTCACGGCTTAGTCTGATGTGTCTTCACTGCAATTGTCAGATCAAGCATCAGCAGCACTTGAACTTTAATCTCCTCTCTCCTGGAGCTAATGGGTTCAAGCATGACTTAGATAAAGATCGTTGTATGTGGGCAGGAGCTGGGTTTGGACAAAATTTGCACTAATAATTCAATGAGGTCCAGCCGTTAGTCACTCTGTGCC